GAGCCTATTGTTCTCATATAGGTAGGTTTTCAAGCTAGGAATATACTTTCTTTAATAGGTGCTATTCAAATTTTATATTTCCTCCAGAGTCAGTTTCATTAATTTGTCTTCTAAGGTACTTCTTAGAAGTTGTCAAATTTATTTCAAAAAGGATTTTTGTAATACACTTTCTAATCCTTTTACATTCTGTAAAATCTGTCGTAATGTCTTCTAGATCTTGATATTGTAGTTTTAAAAATGTACAATTGATATTGTGTAATAGGAAGAAAAGGTCGAAAGGAGTAGGGGAAGTGGGCGGGGCAGGGGAAAGGAAAGAAGGGAAAAGAAAAAATTTGAGAAAAGGAAAAAAATGGAAACGAAGTCTTTGCAAATAGAGAAAGGTAGAAGGGGTGAAGGGAGGGCAGGGGAAGGGGAAAAAAATAAGAACCAAGATACATCATGTACAGGTATAAGATCCCAATGATGAATGTAACTGTATTTTATATCTAAAATGTACCAATAAACTTAATGGGGAAAAAAAAGGATTGCTTGGTGGGAAGAAATCTCCACTCATTTTGGTGACTGGAAGTCACAGAACTATTCTGTGTTCTATGAGTATGGTAGAGAAAACAGTTCGTTTTTACTTGTATCTTCTGAGAATCAAATAACAATAATTCAACATATAAATAAAAAATTATGCTTAGAAGTACATTTCTATGATAAATCAAGATACCTTCCTTCCCTGTCTCTTTATCTTAGAACAACTACCCTCCTTGGAACTAGAGTCTATGTCTCCATAACTCTACATGAGGTATTAACTAAAATAAGAATTGGTTTAAGAAATTTACAATTAACTCATGTTTACTTTCTCACTATACGATATCTGATAACCTTGAAAATAACCACTTTTCCTATTACTCATAAACAGTACAGTTCATTATGTAAACTATTTGCAAGCCAACATACAGAAACACAACATTTCATTTAAAAGTACATTATTCATGGGCCAGGGATTTAGCTCAGTGGTTCCACTGCCTGCCTTGCAAGCTCAAGGACCCAAGTTCAATCCCTGGTACCAAAAAAAAAAAAAAAAGTACATTATTCATATTATTACAATAGTTTATTACAAACTTGAGCATGGAAAATGGATTAAGGTCTATTCACAAAACTATCAAACAGTTCAAATATGAGGAAGTTAGTCCTAATAAAGATAATACTACCTAAAGAAAATATATCAGAAAGCCAATACTAAACACTGGTGTAAATGTTGGTAATAGGAAGTGGAGGGGAAAATTCATCTGCCTGGATATAAAAAATTTTTCATTCATTCAAACATTTTCTGAGCACCAGTGGAGTGAGGTGGGAAGAAGAAAATATCTATATTTAAGAAGTTCACAATCACTGGAACTGGAATACGACCTTTGGAAAGTCACCAGAGTACTGTTTCCCCATCAAATGTGAACAGTAACGTCTATTTTCCATTTCTCACATGAGGCAAGAGTAAGAAGCAGGACATGCTTCACATCTGAAGCACTTTTTTCTAATGATCACTCTAAACAAAATTTGTGTTTGACTACTTTATAAGACTGAAAAAGATACAATTGCATTGGAAGACTGTTTGAAAAATGAACCTTCCTGTCCCTGAAATGATAGTTTCCAACAGATCAAGAATATTTCTCAATTATTTCCAAATCTTAAACTCCACCAAAATACATTTATATGCTAGATTATAAAAAAATTTCAGCTCAAATGACCAATCCATCTGTATTATAATATGAAAATAATCATCTATGTTACTGTTGAGTTTTAAAACATAAAGCTCTTACTATATAAAAATGTAATCACATGGGCCAGGGATTTAGCTCAGTGGTGCTGCCACCTGCCTCGCAAGCACAAGGTCCCAAGTTCGATCCCCAGTACCAAAAAAGAAAAAAAAAATGTAATCATAAAACATAACATGTCCGTGTAATTTCAAAATGTTTCACCTAAATTTTCAAAAGTGAAAATGGAAAAAAGTGTCACAACCATAACTATGTATCAACTGTAGCATTAGAATAATTTATCTGGGGCCGGGGATTTAGCTCAGTGGTTCCGGCGCCTGTCTACCTGTCTCGCAAGCGCAAGGTCCCGAGTTTGATCCCTGGTACCAACAAAAAAAAACACAATAATTTATCTGATACAATGTCATAGCCAAATTCTATTACAAACTAACATCAATTTTCTAATCACAGAAGTTAAAGTACATTATTGTATTTAGAAGTTGAAAGTGTAAACATTTTAATGAATGAACATTTAGTGAAATTTTTGTAGTCAAGGAATGTATTAAAACAGATATTTTACCAAACATGATCAACTTACATTTTGAAAGCTCTATGACCTCCTGCAGTATAACTTATGAGTCTAGAAGTTAGGAGACCGGGACTAATTAGTGGGCTTCTATTTTTTTTTTTTTTTGGTACTGGGGATCAAACTCAGGACCTTGCCTTTGTGAGGCAGGAGGCGTCACCAAGCTAAATCCCCAGCCCTGGGCTACTAGTCACTGTTATTAAAAGGCTTTCATTAACTTACTGAATTACCTGAAGTAGTTAACATTGCCTTATTAAAGATCTGTTGTTTGCTAAATAACACACTGAAATATAGAATTCACCATTCTTTTCTGGTAAACACACAACTCAGAAGAGATCCAAAAGACTACAATACCCCATCACTAGTCCCATCATACACAAGTTAAACTTTTTTGGTATAGGTTACTATGAACAATCTGTTTTTCATAAACTAAAATTTTAAAGGTTCTCAAACTATACCAGCCTTCCTCAGAAACCATGTCATGTACCCCATTTGAGAATCACTACTTGCTAAATCATGAACGAAATGACAGTGGTATTAAACTCTGAACTGTACCAGAAGTATATCATTTCAAACCCTCTTTTTACTGAATTTCACCAATAAATATATGCCTTATCATGATTCTGCTGTACTGTTTATATTTTCAGTAAATAATATTTTGCTGGTTATCCTGGGAAGAGACAAAATCTTAACTCTTATATTGCAGCAGTGAATTGAAAGTAGTTATTCTGAAGTATTTTAACAATATGCCAGTGCCCTTAGATAAAAATATTTTGTCATAAGACATGCTGTTTTAAATACAGTAACTGAAAAAGAATTTAAATCACTATGTTGTACCACTGAAGACAGTTTGAATCACCAGAGAAAGTACAGACTTGGTAATGATGTGGTCATACTGTAAATGGCCCTTAGCAAAAACAACTTGTACAAATTGTTGTGCCAACTACTACGGCTCAAGGTGAATTAATCATTTAAGTGCAAACTTTCTAAGGGAAACTCCACAGTTAAGAGAACCCTGTAAATACATCAATCTATTTTTAGAAAAGTCTTAATTTCCAAATATAAAAAATTTAGATTTCTTTACATGTGTCAAAAAATCTTTATATTTATTATTCTTTCCTAATCTTCCCAAAAATTCCTTTAGGTGGCACAGTAAACACTGCTGGAATTTGCGTGTAATTTATTTAAACCTACATTTTCTTACATAACTGGACCAATATACAGTATTATCAAATGAGAATGACAAAATTAAAATCTATTTGTCTTATCACTCCAGGAAGCTAATAACAATCAACAAAAATCTGAATTTAAGAAGAAGCATGAAGAAAAAAACTGCAAACTAAAATGTACCTGTTTTTTGTTCTTACAGAAATTGTTAACAAAAGGATGATAATTCTTCTGAGAACATAACTATTATCTTCTTAACCTGTCAGGTTGTTTACTGGTCATTGTTAACCATCTCAAATCAAGGTGTATGAGTAAACTAAAAAACAACTTTGAAGAAAATCAATATCAAAAAGTCCTACCATAAAAGTTTATGCAGTGACTTACAAGAAAACTCCTGGGGCCGGGGATTTAGCTCAGTGGTTTCACTACCTGCTATGCAAGCGCAAGGACCCGAGTTCAATAACCAGTACCAAAAAAAAAGAAAACTCCTTAGGGTTTTCTAAATACCTACTATAGTCAGTCATCTCTTCTCACTTTTCTTAGTCCTGACAGATTAAAAACTATAATAGCTGATGCTACAGACACATAAGTAAGCAAAAGGAAGTAACAGCATAAAGGGCAGCAGGAATTTGACCAATACTGAAGAAGCAGTAACCTACAGCATCTTCCAAGGGCAGCAATGTAATCACTATACTGTTAATCCAAGTTATCAGTAACATTAAACTGCATTCAGTAAAATCTGCTTACAAAGGTAGAAAATTACATAACACACTGAGAAAAGTTTGGTCAAAATCTTGAGTTCTTCTTAGTAATTATAATAGCTTCAGTTACCTATTCTGTCAAATACATATGCATTCAAGAATTACACTTTATTATTATAATATTTAACATGAAATAATGCTTATTTTAAATGTTATTTTAAAAAATAGCCATGACGTAATATTCAGTAAATAACCAGTTGGTGTTTGGTTATGATACCAACCTACTGCAGCATGAAATTGAGATAAAGCATCAGCTAGCTGTCCAGCTGCAAGTAATTTCTTGCCCAATTCAAGATGTTTCTCAACATCTGCATTTACTCCACATTCAGCACCTAAAAACAAATTTTAAAAAATCAGTTAACTTTTCATGAACCATGACTTAATTCTAAAAAACAAAAAGTTACGATATAGCTATCTGGCTTAATCATCTACTCAAGTGGGAAAGGTCACAGAAGCTGAAAAATGACCTAGATAAAGTAACAAACATAAACACTGCTTATAGAGTAAGAAGCCCAAAAATATACTGTATGAACCTAACCAGTCAAAATAATACAACCAGTCCAAAAATCAAAGGATATTTGCCAAACACAGTAGTGAAACTATTTTGAACAAAATTAAAATAGCTTCGTTAAAGTGGAATCTCATCTTAATGAGTATTATATTGTCTGCTATAATATTTAAGTACTTACTGAACACCTACAATGTACTAAGAACTGTTCTAGGTATTTGGGATAAGTGAACAAGAGTCAAAAAATCTGCCCATTTTCCCCTCCAAGCACTTGACATTATGATAGGCAGAAACAGATATGATAAGTAAATTACATAGTACATCGGGTGAAAAGTACTGTGGACAGAGGCCAGTAATGTGAGGGTGGCAGGAATGTGGGGAGGAAGATTATAGTAAACAACGAAGGGCAAGGGCAGGCCCTCTTAAGAAGCTGACATCTCAGCAAGACTAGCGAGTAACTCACTATGGACATCTAGGAAAAAAGCTTTCCTAGGAGAAGGACCAGCTAGTGCAAGGGCCCTAAATCGGGTGTGCAGATATACTCCAGAATCAGCAAGGAAGCCCGGATGACTGCAGCAGAGCCAACAGAGAGTGAGTGATATGAAGTCAAAGAAGTAAAGGGCCTGGGCCAGGGATTCAGCTCAGTGGCACCGGGCCTGCCTCACAAGGGTAAGGTCCTGAGTTCAATCCTCACAGTACTAAAAAAAAGAAAAAAGTAAAGGGCCTGATTATGAACAGCTTTCATTTGGCTCTTGTGAAAAAGGAAACTACTGAGGGCCGGGGATTTAGCTCAGTGGCATCGTGCCTGCCTCACAAGCACAAGGTCCTGAGTTCAATCCCCGGTACCAAAAAAAAAAAAGAGAAACTACTAAGCCATTTAGAGTAGAGTAATACGATCTGACTGGGCCAATTATTGGTGATTTGACTCCCAACCCTGAATTCCTCCTTTGACATCCATAATGCAATAATGGAGTAGCAGTTTAAACACAACATTATGCTTTGTCACTAAAGAGCACAGAGAGAATTATAGGAAGGAAAGATATCTCCTGGTTCTGCTTGCGGCATTTTACCTTTTTCTGGCTCCTACTTCATGGTGGGTATGTGAGGGCATCCAATGGTGCTCTGTCCTAGCAATATGTCCCTCAGCCACCTAGCACCTCCTCTCAACAAAGGCACCACACACTCCAGCTTCACACATTCAAGCCAGTGACTATTGCTATACACAAGCCAGCCAGCCTTGGCTTAGGTACACCAGATGATTGTAAACTCAGTAAACTTCTCTACCATTAGCAACTTCGGGGTGCAACTATACCTTATCTAGCTTGAATGGGAGTCTAAACCTCTTATATAAGAGGCCCCTCTGTCAAACTGGCCCTTTCTTGGGACTTTCAGCCCTCTATTCTTTGGCATTCTCTTCACATCTTTAGCTACTCTCCCATTATAGCTTAAGAATTCTATGAAACTATCCCTTTTTAAACTACTGTGTGCTTTTCCTCAGTGGAGACTGATGTACAGTTGGCACTGGTAGTAGCCCCAAGAGACAGATCTTCAAAAGGGGATTTGAGGGTTTTTTTGGTCAAACCCTCAAGCTTGAGTGCAGGGCTGAGCTCCTTGCCAATGGGAAATAAGGTACTAGTAACCATAGCAAGTACGGTAAAATGCTAGATTGCAAGTAACTTGTTCTGCAAGCATTCCACAAGACAAGCAAACATTTCTAATAATTTTTTTTTGGTACCAGGGATTGAACTCGGGACCTTGCGCTTTGAAGGCAGGCGGGGGAACCACTGAGCTAAATCCCCAGCCCCATTTCTAATAAATTTTTTTTTTTTGGTACCAGGGATTGAACTTGGGTCCTTGCGCTTGCGAGGTGGGCGGCAGAACCACTGAGCTAAATCCCTGGCCCTCCAGTCCCATTTCTAATAATTTTTTTTTTTTGGTACCAGGGATCAAACTCAGGTCCTTGCGCTTGCGAGGCAGGCAGTGGAACCACTGAGCTAAATTCCCGGCCCTCTAATAAATTTTAACCTGATAGATGAGCAATGTCTTGCAATAAGAGTAGTACATGATGCCAAATGTCTCATGTTCACAACTGAGCCAACAGTTCTTCTCCCTCTCCCTTCCCTTCTCACTCACTCTCCCTCCCTCTCTGCCTCTTTCCCTCTCTCCTCTCTGCAGAACTGTAGGTGACTGTCTCCCAACAGCCAGTAAAGGTATTAGTGAGATCTCATCTGCAAAGAAAGAAGATAAGTAGGTAAAGGAATCCCTCACTTCAAATGAGATTAGGGATATGTGGAAAATGTGGAAAACTGCAAAATTTTATAGAAAAGGTTACTTATCAAATAAGTCTATAGCAAATGCAATCAATCAATCTGTTTAAGGACAATGCAATGTCACTTTTCCATAAAATCCTCAAAAGGAGGCAAAAGCAAACATCATTGGATAAATTCCTTGTTTAAGTGGCACGAAAAGAAAAAGATTTCACTGAGCCAAGATAGCACTGATTCCATTAGTGATAGTGAAAGATGATCTGCACAACAACCCTCTTCTATCTTGTCTCCCTCACACATTGGCCACAAAGGTTTTCAAAGGTTAAGTGCAGATAAATTTATTTTTCTTTATATAGTATTTTATATTTTTTATTATTTTGAATTATAATACAACATTATAATCACTTTTATATTAATATTTTTGGGTTGTAGAACAAATCATCTGAGTTATCATTATTTCTTATGGGGAAATTCCCTTTGATATACAAGTGCTTTGAATTACAAGCATGTTTCTGAAATAAATTAAGCTCACAAACCAAGGTTTTATTGTACTGTAATCACAATTAAGCTAACACTTATGGCTGACATATAAAAAAATGGTGAAACATGTCTTGGAAGGCTAAGTAGCTGGTGCACTTGACCATAATGACAGAAATCAAAATAAGCACTTGATGTGGGGTAGATTCTTTTGAATGCACTAAAGGTCTTAGAGAAAAATACCAAGCTTAGATCTAACCCTCAACTCAAGTCACAGACTGAGAGCTTCCATGACAGCTTGAAAACAATCTCTTGTTTTTTGTAGCCACAGAGGTAATTTAGCTAAAATTCAACCACAAAATTTAATTATGAGGGTTGCTGAATTAAAGCAATAGTTGAATCCACAGTCTCACCAAGTTTCTCATGTAAAAGTTAAGGTACAGGGCCGGGGATTTAGCTCAGTGGTTCCGGCGACTGCCTCGCAAGCGCAAGGTCCCGAGTTTGATCCCCGGTACCAAAAAAAAAAAAAGTTAAGGTACAGATGAATAAAGAATGAAATCCTTACATCTGGAGAGAGAACATATATTTGGATCCAGTGAAATTAACAAACATGAACTTCCAAGTCCTTTTGAATTTCTTTTACTAGAATTAGTTTGCCCTTGTGTGAAAAGACTAATCTTTGATTGCTTAAAAATCCTAGGACAACATTACATTGGGCAGATGCCTTGAAAAGAGATGCTTATCCTCCTTAAGAGCCACCATAAACTGGGCATGGTGCTGCATGCCTGTAATCCCAGCACTTGGGAGGCTGAGGCAGAAGGATCACTGAAAGTTCGAGGCCAGCCTAGGCTACACAGTGAGTTCAGAGCCAGCCTGAACTACAAACTGAGACCCTGTCTCAAAAAACTAAACCAAACCAAACAAAACAAAAAAGAGCCACCATAATCATGCACCCATTATCATTAACCTATAATTAGAGTCAAATCACAGCAGGTTTCAGGAAGACAGATATACAATATGACCCAAAAGACACATGGAAAGAATTGCAAGGCTTTACGGATAAACTAGCAGGATGCCACAGATCATGTATGAGAATGGACTGTAGAGCTGTTAAACTGAGTGGAATATAACAAGAGATCAGTCCAATTCATTAATATGTGTCTTACACTGAGACAAAGTATCCAACATCTAAAGTTAAAGGGGAGGGCCAGGGATTTAGCTCAGTGGTTCGCCACCTGCCTCAAAAGCGCAAGGTCCTGAGTTCGATCCTCAGTACCAAAAATAAATAAATAAACAAAGTTAAAGGGGAAAAGGTTTGTTTAGCTCAGTTTGTAGGGGTTTCAATCATTAATCAACTGGCTTTATGGCAGTGTGGCACATGGCAGAGGGGCAACACTTCATGGTGGACAGAGGTAGCAAAAGCAACAAGAGATCTTAACAGTGTCTTTCTGCCCCTTTTATCTTATCCAGACTACTGGGATTAGGGGAATACCAAGCCAATCAGTGTACTGGTTTAATAATCACATGCCCTTAATCTCAGCATCACACACTCTAGATTCAGCCACCTCTGAAAAAGCCATCTACAGACCATGTAAGGCTGTAGAGGGAAATCTAGACCCAAACCATAACCGTATGTATACATTTACTGAACTGTTTTGGTAACACAATTTCCCTAGAATAAGAGGGATCTAAAGGATTAGAGATACAGGAATGTTGGGCTAGATTTATTATCTATACACCTATCTCCCACTTTTGTTTCATGTGAGAGCTGAGAAGACACTCCCTTTACTAAGACATTGAGAAAGGTATTAGTGAGGAACCATCTACAACTTTCTCAAAGTTCTGTGGTCACTCCCCTCTGTAAGACAACTATGACTGGGAGGATGCAATGTCTGAGATGGGCTTCCTGACTTCAATGGGATGATGATACTTCCTAAAGTAGTACAAGCTTATCCAGCAACACTTAACCATCAAGAGACTAGGCAGGCACATCAACTATAAAATACATACATTACAAAGGAGACAAAATGACATGCTCTGTGGATGTCACTCAATTTCTTTCCCCACCATACATGTGCTT